TTGTTTAAGATATGTTTTCACAGTCACACTCAACCCATGAATCCAAGCTTTTATCATTAGGACAATGGTGTAACCATAAAAAAGTGCAGTAACTGCGTGTAATTTGAAATGTGGATTTAGATTCTTCAATTTCACCATTATAGTTATTAATAAGAACAATGTTGCTATCATCATCATAATTGCTGTAGTGTTACTGTCATTTTTATTGTTGTTATAATTGCTATCATTTTATGACCATTGTGTACTCACGATGCATCATGGAATGTTGAAAGCTCCGGAACCCACCAGCCTGGCAGTAAGACACGAGGTCCGACAGTTCCTTGGCCAGTTTTATCTTGACCTTCTGTCTTTTAGAACTGGAATCTTTGGAGCCCTTGGTCCCGCTCGTCCCCGTTCTTCTCAGCAGCGTGTTCCTCAGGGACGACACCTTTCCGCTACTCTCTTTTCTCTTCTGGCTCGTGGCCTCCTGCTGCTGAATGTACTCGATGCTTTTTGTGCTTCCGGTTGTGTTTAAATTTATACTGTCCATTGCCTCCAAGCGCTCAATACTGCTGTCGAGGGAGAGATCGCGGGTGAGATGAGGAGGGGTCGTGGGGGTTGGGGACGGGGGTGGTGCGTCCGAGTCTCCGTTCTCTAGAGTCTTGGAGTTGCCGTTTTCCAAGTCTTCGACGCTGAGGTCCTCTTCCAGTTCCTCTTCGTCCACTACGACGTCAGCGTCACCCTCCACGTCACTGGGAAGTTTCTTATTCTGATAATAAATAAATAAATAAATACATGTTAACAGTAAATAAATAAATAAGTAAATACATAAATAAAATAATAGTTATTTAAATAAATACTTGACCCAAATCCTTTCTTCGTTTTCAATGATTGCAAAATTTTGTTCTTCAAAACTGACAAACTTACTTTACAAGCAACCGATCTCCCCTTCTTGAAAATAAAGATCAATTGAAAATCGCTTTCATATTGAACTGATAATGAAAATCAACACAAGGGATCGGAGATGAATATGAAGATCCCACGCCTTACCTTGATTAGTATTTTTCCTTTCAGACTCTCGGGTGACGGAAGCTTCTCCAGTGTCTGAGAGACGGCGTCGGTGCATATTTTGGCACCAAATATGTCTTTGAAGTATTGGGCCATGATCTTCTGTTGAACCAGAGAACAATGGTTCTCGATGGACAGGATAACAGGGTAACTGCAAAAGAATAAAATGAAATGAAATAAATAACTTCAAGTTAAGGTGAACTTACTTTTATTAATTTATTTCATGATGGTAAACATGCGCCACAAAAGTGTAGGCATTCAGAAAAACATTTATGCAAATTTTCACCTAACTTTAATTCATTATTAACGCTTACTGTGTTTGCAATAACAGAGCACTTAGTTCACTTTTCATAAGGAAATGAATGTAAATGAAATCAATACATTGATAGTTCTATATTTACCTTGATTTTTGGAATGCATTATCATTGATTGTTTTCACGACATCTTTGAATAAGATTTTCGATGTCAACGTGCGTCCATGGTAAATAATGGGTTCGTTATTCGGACCGTCCCAGCAGTCCACTGAAACGAATGAAAATAAAACAAAAATATACAAATAAATATGAAATTACAGAAACAGAAAGCACCGTTATTTGAAACAAGGGGGTTGAAAACCTTAGACGGGAGTTCACCCCCCACTTTTGAATCGTGACCGCAATTTATTGAAAGGATCATTATTGTAGACGTTGCATGGGATTGAGATGAACTTTTATTGTAACATCATCTAGCAACACAAATATACACTGTATATACATGACATCATAAATGCTTGCATTCAACACATGGAATTCAATAAACCGACAACACTAATGTATTCTTTTAAGTGATTTGACAATGTTAATTGCTTTTGTCAATTATTTAAACGAAATTCGTACATCGAGTTTTCCCAATGAGGAGGGATCGTGGGCGTTGGGGAGTAGAATACAGAAAGGCGGGTGACGTGCTTATACGTATTCGTTTGAAACAAGAGGATGCGTGTAAATCTGTCAATCTGATTGCATTCAGCGAGAGTCCCCGCGGAGCTGGATCCATCTACGTAGAACGATTTTCATTGGGAATGAGCCCTGATATGAAACCACCGTTGAATCACATCTATAGATCTACGCCATACTTACACTCCACACATCGACATCCTTTGAGAAGCACCCTGGCGTAAGCGTCCACACTACTGGGACCGCGAATCTGGTCCTCTGTCAGGTAACTAGAGAGAAAACAATTATACGTTTCGCATTAAGCATTTAAAAGAACATAAGGGGGATCTGTAGGGCCGAAATACCTTATGGAAACGTATTTTCATCTTGTTCACCATATTTTTTCCTTTGTGCATTGTTGGTATTTTTACTCAGGTGTTATGTTACGTGGCAAAATAATATTGGTCCTTTTACTTACGTGTTATGTGACGTAGCAATGTAGTAGTGTGCGAGGGGCTGCTCCATGTCTTGGTATACACGCCTGTGATCAGGATTAAATATGTGTTGATCCAGGAGGAGAGATAAAAATCCTGCAACAGAAATCGCACAAAACAATAACATTTGTTAAAAACAATATCCCAGCCAACACAACACAATTTTAGAAATCGCATGTTTTCGTCGAGTAATGACGAACGCAATATGTTACATGTACAGGCAAATCTATTTTCTTGCTAAAATCTCTTAAATTGTGGCCCGCACATGGAAACGGTAAAATTGTCCATGGCACATACTGTACAGACTTTCTAAACGAAGGGGATACTCAATCAGCTTAATAAACATTTTAAGTGGACAATACAAGATCTAATAAGCAATTGAAGGCCTACCTTGTTTCGTCATAAGACCAAGCTGAAAGGCAGATTTAATTGGTTCGTGGGCTTGAAGAAGTCGTTGAATATCTTCACGAGTAGCGTCTGCGTTCTAGGTGAGAAAAAAACGCATTTATTAACTACCGTGTTGTTACAAGAATACTTCTCGTGCCACTAGACCAAAAACAGCGGCACTTAATGTAACAAAATCACAGACCAAGCTTACTTAATTATAAGTTCGCGTGCCGATATTTGTCTTCTAAGGACTAATTAATGAATTTTCACTTAAATTCTATTAAATCTACCCTGTTGAGACTAAGATTTACGAGCCGTCAGAATACACCAGGCCCGGGGTTTTAAAACTGGGCGAGGTTAAATCTAGAATATTCACAAGCCATTATATTTAACACATGCCTAACGGACCAGCAAAACAAGGGGAAAGCGGAAAGCGATTTGACTGAGATAAAGATTTGATTGCTTCCAGGCGACTTAATTCACATTATCACATAAAAACAATACCATTGCCTGCGGGTTTAAACGTTGGACCTCTATTTCTAACGCAAGTATTGTGAGAAAATTAATAATGTTATCAATGGATTTGGCGTCGCGTAAAATGTCTCAGTTTTTTGTAACTATATCAACGGAAATGAAACGGAAATTGATTCAGTGAGATTAATTCTATCAACAAAACACGACAAGCACTTATATAGACAGACACAAATTCAATTGTCTGTGTTTGATATCGGTCATTCCACAGTATTTGAGTCACGTTAGTGACTCACTTTTTGGGTAATATTTACATGTTTGTTTTATATAATAATAATTATAATAATAATAATAATAATAATAATAATAATAATAATAATAATAATATGACATTTGATTTGTTAAAAACCCAAGTGCAAAATAGGTTTTACAATCTCTAAGCCCCTATGTTTTAAAAGGCGTTTTTGTTTCTTAATTGCCACTTTATTAGAATTTGCCTACTTGATATTAGTGTTCTGTTCAAATCAGCTAGTTCTATAAGGCTGTTTGGATTGTATGGAAAGGATATTTAAAGGCCACGTGTAACATTAATAGACTTTGAGATCCTTTGAGATACTGGTTTCAAATGATGGTCACGCAGCACTGTTGTCATGTTATCCGACATTTGAGTTCTACGCAGGAGTCGCGCAGCTGAATTTTACATAGACTGAAGTTTTTCCCCTTTTTATAGTTGGATATTCCAAACAAGAGGTTATTACAGTAATCGAAACTAGAAGTTACAAACGCATATAAGAGTTGCTCTACTTGGTAACTTTCAAATTAATGAAGGGATTTAGATATGTCTGGGTATGCTGATTTGCACACCTTTGTTTATGTTTGATGTCACTTCACGACTTTTCTTCAAATTACGCCCAAATGTAAGTCAATAATATAACTTCCGTGCTTAGTTTGATAACAGAATCTCCAATATGATAATGTCCATTGTGCTACCGTCTTTGAAAAACCTAGAGGAGAAATGGACCTATTCAGTTTTATCATCATTAGTCTAGCCTAATTAGAGATGAGGCAGGAGCGGAGTTAATGCACACGAGGCTTTTTCAACATACAGTAAATTTCTAACGCAGCAGATTTCTGAGAATCATCTGCATATAACATTAAATTGGAACCAAACAGAGCCATTTTATCCTCTGTGGATATGAATAGCGTATAATGCAATGAGCACAAGGCCAATCATGGAGCCTATCAATTTTTAATATCTGTTCATTTATTTGGCTCTACCTTGGTTTAGATTTCCATTCCTCAATGTTTGTATAAGTGTCGTACCGCTGTTTTTTCCTTTTAATAAATTTGCTTCTGCTCGAACTGCTTAGGTAGGCCTACGTCAACATTATCTAGACAACTCCTGTCTAACTTGGGGCAAACCGGGTCTTCAGTGGATATTTTGATGAATAATACAAATGGCACTCCAAAACATAACCACTGGCCACGTGCTACATATAAATTTATAAAATTTCTTAGAAATTTCTATGGGCTTACATGTTGTTGTCTGCGCCAGAAGTCGGCGAGGTCGTAAAGGTCCATGACGTCTGTGCCTTCTGCGTACCTGGAACAACAATAAGAATGACATACACATGTAATGCATACATCACATGAAAGGAATCTTAGACGTCACAACACTACAACTGACGTAAAACAAATTCATACAAATGTGGAACACCAAATAAAGACTATATTGGCAGTTTACTGTTGCAGTTTTACTTTATGTTAAGCCTGAAAATGATCTCGCCTTATCTAGCGATGTCTCTGTATAATCTTGTAAACGAAGTTATTGTAATCATGAAATGTATTTTTAAGGAAAAGGTCTGGCTATTATAGTTTTGTTTACAAGGAAACACTCGAGCCATAATCTAAATAGAGAATATATTTTCCTTATATCCAACTTCAATATTTAAAAACAAAATAATATAAAACAATTCAGAACAAACTAATATCGGTTACGTCTTTTGAAACAAAAAATACTGGCAAATTCGGCTACTTACTTCTCAAATATGCAGTCCAGATCGACCCTTTTTATGGCCAAGAAGTACAAAGGGATAAAGTGTGTAATACTGATTGCCTCGGGGTCTTTGGACGTTTTGCTGTCTTTTTCACTTTTACTGTCTTTGTCTCCTCGAATACGCTGAAAGAGAGTGGTAAAAAGTGGTACACGTTACAAATGGTCAGAAGTATTAACCATGGGGATCACGTTGAGTAAAAACAATAAATAAATAAATAAACAAATAAATAAAATAAAATAAAAGCTCCTAGTGAATATAGATTTTAAAATTAAAATTGTAGGCGAAATCATTTCCGTGTACGAAATCAAGTTTATCCTCATGGGCTACACAATGAAAAACGTACCCGATTGACATACATTGCATTCAGAAAACAATAAACGTGTTATTGGACATGTGCCTTTTTGCTAGTCATATCATGGGTGTGACATGTCCAGGAAGAAAATTGCTGATTAAGCTTCGTCATGATTCAACTCTGTATTATATTATTTTTTCGCTACTGTTGTTGATGCAATGGACCAGTTTTATTTTTACACACATACATAGACAGCTGTCGTAAAACTTTCCTTTGAACCTTCAACATAACCCAGGTGTTCTTAGTTCAAACAAAATGGCTAATACATAATTATATTAATGCTGATGTAACTAAGAGATCACAACTGCTTCCTGTTGTCTGTTTACTCTATCTGCCAAAACGTAGAGCAGGGTTACGTAGAGATAAATCACTCTACACATTCGTTTTATTCGTCCACGTGTAGATCTTAGACGAATTAAACGATCCATTTTTTATTTCGTCCAAAATCTACTTGTATCTACATTGAGAACACGACTGCAATGTCCATGTCTTTCAACCAGCAACACTTATAGATACGGTTAAAATTAACCTTTTGAACATTCTTCTTTTTAACAACAGCTGCTTATCTTAGTTTTTTTTTGCTAGTGTCGAAAAAATACTTTTTTATCTCATAAAATAAAAAGAAATTTGTTATATTGGTCTTTGAATGGGCTATTTAAATATAAGGTACGCAAATCTTACTTAACGATGTCAGTTTCCACGGCAAATTTAGTTAAAAGCATGGAACATGTACTACTTTTGATTGAACCCAAAATATATACATTTACAGTGTTTCTGTGTTATAAAAAGATCCATTAGTTTAAATCACAAAGGCACGTGTGGCAATATTTTACCCGCTGTGCTACTAGTTTACACTTTCTAGAGCAATTTAAAATAATATATAACTTAAATTTAGTAATCCAACACCTAAATGTCGTCGTGAGTAAGCAATCTGTTCAAAATTACAAACCGTTTTCACAAATCTTTCCTCGTAGTTTATGTTGCTCTTGACGTAAACTGAGACTTTTCTTGCATTTAAAACATGAAACTAAATTTGCCCGACAATCTATTTAAAATATGTGTGTATACATGTATATTTGTTTATGTCTGACTTGACCAATGACTCAGAAATACACAATGTTTCTAAGAACAATACATAATTACCAACGGGGCTCAATTCTAAATCGGCGTGACATGGTTGCAGTAGTCGTTTCAGACTTGGCCATTACGACTTTTCTTCTGTTCGAATTCAGTATCTGCTTACACAAACTGAGGGTCAACTGGTCCGTTGTCGATACCAGAAAGTGAATGATTCGCATGCGCATGCATTTCAACGTCTATGTATGTGTGCGTAAGCACGTGCGCGTGTACAATTGCGTGTGTGTGTGTGTGTGCACGTGCGTATGCTTGTGCTTTTTTACCTTGATGAACTTCTTAGCACGTTCTCGGTCAATAGGAATGTGCATACGTGCCAGTTTATCCAATACTTCATCAAAGGTCAGGTATCCCTTGTTGTCCGTGTCCGCAGAGCGAAATTTACATTCTATCCAACTGGGAGCTTGTCAAGGGCACAAACAGTGTGATCAAATGACACCAAACAGAGTGCAGAGTGAAAAACGTTCTAGGTGTAAATAATATTTGCATCACAATAGACGTTACTATGACAATAGATTGTAAATAGCTGAAGCGATACCTCTACAAGAGTAAAATTCACGATACTACCACGAGAGTTTTAATAACGGCATTTTCACAGCAAATCAAAAATCAAGAAAGTTTAAATAACGTTACCATCACAACAGAGTGTAAAAAACATATAACCATCACAACAAAGTCTAAATAACGTTACATTCACGCCTATTTTCGGTTGAGATATATCTAGACTGGAATTCACTGAAATTTCAAGTTAATCCTCACCTCTTAAAAATCAGGAGCACTGCAATAAAAAGGTTGTGTATCAACACATTGTATCTACATTATCGTTGACATACTCCACTGCACGAGCTGCAGAAATTAAGTTGAAACTTATAGAAAAGAAAAGAAAATGTTTTTTCCCTTGCGAGGGGCGGACTCGTTTCGTTTAAAGTCAGGTGAAAAACCAACAGACACTGAAAGTGTAACCATATAAATTACGACCCTATAGTCTAAGATGGGGTCCTTTCTGACGTATATGATGTTGAACATCGCGTGTGTGTGCGCGTGTGCTTGGATGCATCTCTCTCTCTCTCTCTCTCTTTTGTGTGTGTGTGTGTCGGTGGAGAGAGATGGGCTGTAATATTAATGGCCCGGCATACTGGACCTTTAGCTACAGTGCCGCCGGAATGTCCCCTTACCAAATGAACCGGCCGTATGGTTTCCCAACCCTGCCCCATATGGTCGAACAATAGAGGCCGTATGATAATTACAGGGTAGGGGAATCCCCAAGCAATCCTTATCGGACACCCAAATTAGTCGGTTCAACGAACACGGTCTGCCCCTTCTTAATTGCCTCACTTAAAGTTTTAAAACACGTATAACAATTTTATTTGATGATAATAAGTCACGATCAACAAAAGCGTAGTTAAAATGGAAATTTTTAAATAGCTAATACATCAAATAGATATCAATGTCTCATTACCTTTATTACATGTGTTGCTAGTTTAGTAGCCTGATGTACGACCTTCTCTCTCAAGTACCGCTGGAATCATCTTCTTTAGGTGATTTATATATTTATTACTGTATAATACACTTTTCTGCGTTAATATGGTCATCTCCTTGTCTATAACGTTCATATGGCGCAGGTCAACCTTTGAGGGACGTCCACTTCGTGGCTTATCTGCAATACCAAGCCCTTCGTCGTATTTCTTTAACGCATAGTAAATGGCTTGTCGCGACACTTTATGGCCTTCATTTTCCATTTGTGCGGTTATGTTTTTAATTCGCACCCCTTGTTCTCGGAGGGCGATGATACGCAGACGCACGTAATCGCTAAGAGGCATCTTGGAATTGTGATGATTTGGAAAATTTGAGTGTCGATTTATACCGTTCACTTGGCAGGTGACACGATGGCATGGAAATCATTGACATAAACAGGTCATATTAAACAAAATACTTATTGGCCATTTAGGAAGTCCAGATACACAAACAATCCTGTTGACACGTGTCAGTTGATTTAGAATTATGTGCAATTGATTAGTTTGGATTGAAGAGCGTCATCGCAATGTTAACATTAATTTTAGACGACGCGTGTCACACAGTAGTGATTATGTAATAGTCAGGGCTTAATCACTGTGTTTACCCAGCATGAATAAAGCTAACCTGAACTGATTGTTAAG